GCGCTTTACAGGTTTTTTTTATTAGAATATAGTAAAAGATCTGACAATATATCTTAGGGATACTTGACAAAAAGAAATTGACCGAGACTAGTTTGAAAAAGTTTTAGTTCCGGATCCGGTCCGGTTTCGGAACCATTTTGTAGACGCCTTGTGTAGGCCTGATGGGTCCGGATTTGAATCTCCCTGATCAAGTTTGAGTTCAGATCCAGAAAAATATGGATCCATCACTATCTTATCGTCTGATAGAAAAAAAACAGTATTTTTGAAGAGATAGGCTCTTTCAAAAAAAATAAATGCGGAAACTTCGGATTTAAATCCGAGAGTTATGTGTACTTCAAAAAGTGGATCATACGAATCAGTCATCCTTGAATGTCTGAACATCAAAATTATACTGGGAAAACTAGCATTTCAAATTTTGATTTTCATTGCGCGTTGCCAAACCAATAGGACTTGGGATCGAACACAGCTCAAGTTTGAAGTCTCTCCCTTGATTTACCCTAAAACAGTCATTTTTCCTATAACTTGATTTCTATTGGCCACTGCACAATCAATAGTATTACGTTGGGAGTGCAATACACATTCGAGTTCTCCATCTCTGAAAACCTCGAAACATCATCACTGTGATCAGGAGATAGAGCTCGATTTGTGGATCAATTAGATCGTGAACCAAAATATAGCCCAGTTCTCTTTAATTATTCTTGCGATAGGTGAGTCAACCTTCTTATTTCTTTATGTTTTATGCATCATTTTGTAGCTCTTGAAATTCTCTATCGAATGGTATATAATAGTTAGGATTTTAATTGACTATGATAGGAAAACTCTTTTACGAAAGCCGCGATGGGTCTATTTTTCCACAGAAAGCTATAGGTAAAAAGGGGCATTTTCGCAATAGCTCATGAACGGCTCGGCCAGTCCTTCTCACCTTCAAACTCGACCGAGATATTGTCAAGACTAAGCTTTGTAGAAAGTTTCATCGCAATCTGACTCTGTTGTCAAAAGTTATCATGTGAACAGCCAACCGGACGCACGGACACATTGACTATTCTATAGTGTACTCACTTTTATAGTACACGAATCTATGATTCGGTTCAAAACTAATATCAGATTCAGAATCAGCGTTAAAAACTGAGTCGATTTATGTATTTTGTGAATAATTATGGGCAAAAAATTTTTTTTGAAAAATCCCCGTACCCCCCCTCAGGGATGGTCTGGTCAAAAATCACAATTTTTTCGATAACTCAGTCATTTCTTGACGGATCCTTCTCATCTTCGAACTCGATCGAGATATTTTCAAGACTAAGCTGTGTAGAAAATTTCATCGCAATCTGACTCTTCTTTCGAAAGTTATCGTGTAAACGGACGGCCGGACGGCCGGACACACAGACCGATTTTAGTAGTGTACTCCCTTTTTGAGTACACTAAAAACAAGTAGCGTTCGTCGGTTCGACTCACTTGACCCTCGACTGTTTAGGACAGAAGTACATTCTTCACTTGGGTATCGAAAGAATTGATCTACTTCCTCAATCATAATAACTGACTGAAACTTTCATTTCGTGAATCGTACAAGTCGAAGAAACTGCTCGGTCTCTTTGAAAATTAGTTTAGGATAAACCTTGCTTTTCAGCAAGAGATTGTAAAAGTTAACAATTATTTATCCAAGTGCACTTTAACTAATATGTATCAGAAGCAAAACAAATGGTATACTGTTAAACACTAGCAACATGATGAAACATTCTTCTTTATTCACCCTTCATCTAACCCCGAAATTGTTTTACTTCGAGAAGTCAGATGATATCATATTCAATTCTTTCAGAGACCCCACGTCAAAAGAAGTTTACAACATTTATAGAAAAACACAGAACACGCTTTAAACATTCTATTAGAACTTGGTGTACATTCTAGAACATTCGTCGATCATACTGTTTACTATAGAGTTCTCTAGGAAAGTACAAGTTCAATGGAACCCTTAGCTGAAACTGTATCCTATTATATTTGCTCTCTAATTCAAATATCATACATGTAAGAAACTTCTGTTTAAAGCAGCGATAATAATAGACAAATAATTTGAATGTATTTATATACGATCAGATACATGAAGTAATACAAAGAAAAGTATACACCAGAAGAAATGCTCTTGTTCTACGTTCTTGTACACTATTGATACAGCACACATGAATTCTTTCAGTAATCAATTATTCAATTATTGAATAGATGAAGTTCAGATGTACAACTATTCAATTAATTACTCAATTATTTCTTTTTCGACTATTTGAACTTCACACATTTAACTATTCAGTTATTCCGCTTCCCTTTTGGAAACTCGTATCGCTGTATATTCCTCTAAAGGCGTGATCTCTATGCATGAAAACGAATATGTTTTCCGCATTCTCATCTGGTGTCATGATGTATGAGTTTTAAAACATGCATTTCATCTCTAGAAGAATCCTTTTTTTGGAGAAAAATGATTTATTGAATAGTTGAGCTACGTTTTTAATAATTGAATTCAAGTTTCAGGCTTGACATATATAAACTCACCATACATTTTTCAGCTTTGTGTATCTGATATTCCCTATTCAGACCTTTTCGAGCCCGAATATTGAAGATTTTTCAAAGAATTGCAAAACTTTGAAGCAGCGTTTCTGAAGATAATCCTGTGCAGCAGCTAGTCGCTCGTCGGCACCCCCTTTGGGGTGCCACTCGCGCCTAGCTGCTGCCGCCACTGACTTGATTCTGCCATGAAATAATTCTTTTTACTTCAACTCTATCAAATACCAGGCTTTTCTGACTTAAGAAAACTGTTAGATACATAACACGATTGCTCCAAATGAGCTACTCTGAACCGACAGCTTCGGATCATTTATTTTGTAGTTTCTCTAACCTAATTATTTAGCCAATACATTACAGTTTTATCGTGGCTTCTAATTTGGAGTATCATAGTTGTCTATTCTTGATAAGGGTAACTTTCACGGTAAAATGTTGTTAAACAATATTAGAATACGTTTGCAATATCAGCAACAGTCTTTCGGCAGTATTATCCTCAGACATTACTCATAGTAACTTGGGTTTTTATTGGAGAACATAAAAACCATCGTGGATTATTCTGCGTGTACCTTGCGGATTGTAAGTTCACTTACAAGATTGTTTTAACGCTACTTTTGTCTGCTAAAGCAGAGTGTATGAGCAAAAAGTCGTTTAGTTCAGAAACCGGTGTCAATAAGCAGGAATCCCTGAATGTTACACACCTCACACCGAGTGCCACTGGTGTGTAAAGAGTATTTTGTCAGGCTATAATTTACTCAAAATCCACACCATTAGTTCACACTTCGATCCACACGTACAACGATATGATGAAGACGGCAGCAAAATTAGACGACTATCGTAGATCTCAAATGCGAACAAAGATTCTCCAAATATGGAGTTTCTTTTTTTAAAATGCTTTCTCTGAAAAGAAGTCACGTTTCCCTTAGATAATAATTCACAGAGACAGTTATAACTGTTTTTGATACAAATGATTCCTTGAATTTTGGAAAATCTGACTTCAGATTTGGATTCCCCGACTTCTATTTACTTCGGTCAACCTTTATAAAATATCCTTGTTTTCTCAAAATACTCCTCCCTTAACCCAAAAAGACTCAATTCAAAATTCTCAAAATATGGCTTCACATTCGGATTCCTTGATGTTGATTTACCTTTGCTAGAAATCTATTTATGAAATCTAAACCGCTAGTGAAATTGTTATGTTGAACACAACAGTTGGATTGTAACAATATTTAGCATTGCTTGGACCCGGAAACGATCAAACGCCGGTAATGACCGAACCTGCGAATGACCGAACCCGGGAGTAACCGAACCCGGGAATAACCGAATGCCGGGAACGACCGAACGCCGGAAATGACCGAACCCAGGGAACAAACGAAGCCTGAAACAACCGAACCCCCGATATGACGGAACCCAGGAACGACCGAACCCGGGATTCCCGGTCTATTCCCGGGTTCGGTGCATCCCTACTCAACATGCATAAATTAGAAAACGCGATTTCTTTCATTCTTCTCGATACTACACTCCTTACATGTGGTTCATTCAAAAAAAAATACGGTGCATAAGATATTCAAAACATTTTACTACGCATCCGATCTTCAGTCAACACCTGTATTTCAATATCTTTCATAAAACACATTATATCCCAAACGAAAATTTCGTTCCTGCATCAAAGTTCAATCGAAACGACCAAAAGTTCTAAAATAAGAAAGTTGGTTTGTGATTGGCTGGCTTTCGACCAATGAAACCTTGGCCAAAGAAATGGACAGCAGAATCGGATACAGCGCGCTCGATAACCTACGGAAACGTTCTGTCAAAGGGGCCAAAAGCCTTAAAATAACAAAGTTCGTTTCTCATTGGTTGGCTCCCGACCAATGAAACCTCGGCCAAAGA